GAGGTTACAAAAAGTGTTCACTGTCTAAGGTCACTCTAGTTACCTACTATCTTAAAAGAAGTAGATATAGGATAACAGTAACTAAATCTTTGATGGCTCTACTGTAAAGACTAGTTTGATAAAACAAATACCAAGGTCTAGTACCTGATTATAATAATCAGATAGGCAAGAACTTTCAGATTGAGAGTCTTGAAGGTATTACCAACCAGGCTATCAGAACGAACCAGAGGAAAAAGATGTCAGGCTGACCCAATATATCGATAGACTGGTCATAGTTTTACATAGACTATCTGGATTGAAAGTTTGGTAAAAAGGCAGAGAAAAAGTCAAAAATATACTAAAGTATCAGGATTATGCTGTGAAGTAGATACTAGGATCTAAGTAAACTCTACAAGGGTATAGCAGTTTAATAGTTAGTCTTGACTGCAAGTATTAGTTCTGCTATAGTGATACCTAGGTCAACTATAAAAATAGATACAGAAAGCTCTGAGGGTTTATCTTGAGAATAAATTAGTCCTAAGGTTGAGATGATGATCTGGACATCTGGGTATAACCTAATAAGTTAATACAGGTTACAAATTTAGAGAATTTAAAGTGAAACATCCAAGCAGGAATGTTAGGTATAGCAATTGATGAGGAACCTTTAGGTGAACTTCTTAAATAGGTAATATAGAAAGGTTACATATATAGCTAATTGTACTCTCTCCTATAGTAGTTCATTGAACCACAATACTGATAAGTAATTAATAAAAGTCAAAAGACCAAAGAGATCATCTTAATAAAATAAAAAAAATAAAAAAATTAATAGAACTATATACTTATAAAGTTTATTTAAATTCTAAAACTAACTTTACAAAATATCTCTAGTATTTTAATATATTACTGCTTTGATCTCAAACTCTTAATTCAAATAATCTAGTAAAACTATAATTTGTTCTTAATATATTAAGTCTGATCTAATATTCTTTTTTACTGATTTAAATTTTGACAACCTAGTTAATAATATTTTAAATTTAATTTTTGTTATAAGTAAAATTATTTAAAAAAAAAAACCAAAATTTGAACTTTTAATTTTATAAAATAAAATTTTTTTTAAAATATATCATTTGTAAAATTATCTAAAATAGAAAAAAGTAAAAATTACAATTATTTATATCTTTGTAAAGGCTATAATTAATAAATAATAATAAACTCTAATTATTATAATAGTATTATGTAAACAAATTGATAATCATTATAACCAATATTAATCAAATAATAATCAACTATAAATTTGCTGATCATTGGTCAAAGAGTTTCTGGTCAAACTGGTCTGATCAAATTGATCAAATGGTCTAACAATATGAACCAAATTAACAAATAAGCAAATTTGGTTATAGTTAAATTGCCTAATTGGTCAATTTGTTCTTATAACTAGACCACCTGGCCAACTTGATCAATGTCAAAGAAGCTTGACTGGACCGGTTATTCTGGTCAAATGGTCGAATTGGTCTGGTCAGCCCAACACTGGTTATAACTAATAATATTGTTTCCAATTCGGTAATCTGATTCTAATGTTTATTTGTCGCGCGGGTAATGCGGCCAGCAACGTTTCCAGTCTCCCGAACGTGTTGATCCGACATCCACGCGAAGTGACAATTGAAAATTTAATGTGTTTACTAATCTTTAATTGTTAATTATCACGTCGCGTGATGTCAGTATTATGGCCTGTCGAGATTTTGGGCCTCGGAATTTCGTTCTAGACCCCGAACCCATATTAGCAAAGCGAAGAAAATAATAATGAAGGCTTATACAAAGGAAAGTTTGTAACCAAAATTTTCACAATAGATAGTCGTGTGGTAGCCTCCGAAAGTTTGTACCTTGTTTTTTACGGGATTGAACATTTGTAAAAAAAATGGTATTTATTTTTACAATATAATAATAATGTGGTTTGTTTTCTGTGTAATAATAACAGATTTTTAGAAGTTACATATTCAACCATTTTGACACGGGTGACCCGGTTTACTATAACCTGGTTCTAAACTCTATCCTAGATGCTTAATCCTAAATTACTAACATCAATAAAAAAACCGAGAATGGAATACAAAATTGTTCCTTTTAAATAATTTTTTCGAACACCGCGAAATCTTTTTTTTAATTTCTCAATCTTCAATCAATCATTACTTTTTAATGCTGGACTTCCTCAAATTTCTATTTTCTTGCTTTAGTTTTCTATTCTCTTCTACAAAAGACTGGTTTTCATTAGTTAATTCGGTAATACTTTTTGACAGTCTTTCGATCACAACACTTAAGTTCTCCACTTGCTGGCCACTTTTAAGTTTGGAATTTTCTTGTTTAAATGCCCTTATTTGTTCCTTGAGATCTGAATTTTCTTGTTCTAATTCGATGATTTTTTTATGCGGAGTTTTGTCTTCAGATCCTAGATGAGAATTGTTGCTATCTTTCAATTTGATTAACTGTCCTTTTAGATCCAAAATTTCTTTTTCCAAAGAGTCTATCTTTAAATTAAATTTTGAGGTCTCGGTAACTAATTTTGTAGTTAAATCATCGTTGGTACGCATTAGTTGAGCGTTTTTACCGTTTAAATCGGAAATTTTATTTTCTGATTCTTTGTTTTGTAATCTTAGTTGATTTATATCCCGAGTCTCGATAACAGTACCCTTCTTTTTTAGCTCAGCGTTTTCTAAAAACTTAACTTTTTCAGAAAGCTCTAGTTTACCCTTTTCTAATGAATCATTTATTTGTTTGATTTTTTCATTTTCATTCTTCATTTTTTCATTTTCATTCTTCATTTTTTCATTTTCATTCTTCATTTTTTCATATTCATTTTTCATTATTTCATATTCATTCTTAATTTTTTCATATTCATTCTTAATTTTTTCATATTCATTCTTAATTTTTTCATTCTCATTCTTAAATTTTTCATTCTCTTTTCTTAAAAAATCGTTCTCTGCCTTTTTTGCTTTAATTAATCTTTCATGTCTGGCTAGATCTTCATTTGCTGGTGTAACGACCACCGCACTTTGTCTAAATGAACTATCACCCAACGCCGTAGGGATGATCTCACTCTCTCTAGACGAGTTAATATTATTATCCAAATTCGCTGTAAAATGGCTGTTGACCAATCCATTGGTTAATCCATTGGTTAGTCCATTAGTTAGTCCATTGGTAGTTCGTCCATTGGTTAGTCCATTAGTTAGTCCATTGGTTAGTCCATTGGTTAGTCCATTAGTTGGTCCATTGGTTAATCCATTAGTTAGTCCATTGGTTAGGTTTTGTGGAGCCTTCTGAGTAGTTATAGAAGCGGGTATTTCTCTGTTTGAAATTAATGTAGTATCCCGAAGATTTCTATTTATCTCGATTATTTTATCTTCCCATTCAAAATATCCACAATGAAAACATTTATAGTAAGCTCGACCCGGGTTTGTTTTGCTTTGCGAAATCCTTTTATCGATAACTCTGTCACAACATTTAACTTCAATCATCGAGGATGTGTAAACTATATTTTTAAAGTGAAGAATCTGCGATAAGGCGTCTGTATTGTGCATTTTAAATTGTCATACGAATAATCACATGATCATTATAAACACGTGATTGTTATCGTTGTGTAACCATGTAACAAACTAATTGATTCGAAGCAATGTATAAACCCATAAAGTGTTCGGTATGTTTAGTCCTGCAAATTCGCAATAAAATAACGAACTTCGTGTAACACCCTCTAAGTAGAATAAAATTTACATATACGTAGTGTAGTTTTTTTTTAAATAAAAGGCGTCTGTAATATTTACTTATCTAAATTTTGATCTGAGGTCCGAATTTGCAGGACATAAGGGTACTTTTATACTACATACCAATGCATTACTATGTAGTGAAAGATGAACTTTCACATGCTGCAGGGCTTACACATAACTTCTGAATTTATCATTGTAATCAGGTTTATCTGCGCAAAAGCCGGTTTTAGTGACGTAAATAATTCTGCACCTATAAACTCAATTCAGAATATAAATTACTGTTACATAGAGATAGAAACACATAGAAATAATAATGGCAATCAATGAACAAAAATATGGAGTTAGTATGTCGGATTTTTTACAGAGGGATCACCAAATTGCCAGGTCGGATCCATTGGGTTTAGGCCAGCATTTAGCAATACAAGTCAACCATTTTTAGGCCAAATTATCAACTGGGCAGCTTTACTAAATGAGTCGGCCATGACTTTATTAGTAAAACTTCTAGTGATCTTGAGCAAAATTACAGTAATTAATTCCGGCCCTGCCGATCATGGTTACAAGGTATCCTAACCCGAAATTTTTGGTGACCCTCCTGTATGCTTTAAGAATTTATCACTTTACTGAACTTAAGCTCGAAATTAAAACCTGAGTGCTTAGTCTTATATAAATCAAATGCTCACAAATAAAATATATATTAGCTAAAATACAAGGTTTTGATAATTAAGGTATTTTTCATAAATAACAACACAAGTAAGGCGATCAATTAAAATAAACTGATTTATACATTTTAAAATTTTTTTAAATATTAATAATGAAGTCATGCTATTAACTTTATTAAAATTTAAATAAAATTTTTAGAAAAAAAAGCTTGTTTTTAAATTACATATAAAGAATAAAGATTTAGACTAATTATTTGTAATCTAAACCTACAAGAGTAACAAGGCTTACCTAGATTTGGATATAAGTAATACAGAAAGATACTATATATATATATTTTTTTAATATTAATAGTGAGACCATGCTTCTATCTTTATTGAATATTTAATTGAGATTTTACATAGAGTACAATTTTGCTTTTAAAATATTATAGAAAGAATAGA